CCCCAAAACCCCAAAACCCCGGATCCCTTAATATAAGATACGAAGATTCTACTTTATATAAATTTAGAATGAAAATGATAGATAAAAAAGTTCATTAGAATTCTGATTCATAAGAGATAAAGAAATCTTTGAAAGTTTCACTCCTAAATGAGATCAAAGGAGAGACTTAGAATTTTGAATCACCCAAACAGATCATGAATGACTAAAAAATGAGCACTAAGAAGACAAGACTTGAGATTATCTTTGCAAAATATTACTTCGGTTTCGCTATTTTATCAGCTTTGTTCTTTGGATCCTTTAACTTTATATTGGATAGTGTAGTGCAACAACAAATGAGTCTTAGAGTTATGTACTTAATGGGCACTGGATGCTTAGTTTATTTCTTCGTTTTCCACTTGTATTCTGCAATTGACCTTAAGTAAACCAAGGGCAAGTTTTGGCTTAAGAGCGAATCTGCTTATTACAGAGATGATGGAAGAATAGATTTCTTCTTGGTAAAGATTATATTGTGTAGATCAGTCTTTTCAGTGATGCTTTTTACTTTGCTTTATGTGATAATGTATACCTCAGAGCTCTCAGGCATCAGCAGTTCTGTCATTATCACTCTATATGCGGCTAACATCTTAAGCACCTCTGTTGGATTTTACTTTGTCTACAATGAAAAACTAAATTATAGACATCTGATTGGCATGATATTTATTATCATAAGCATTGCCTTCATATCCTAGGGTAAAACCAATGTAATTGGAGGAAGAAAATCAGACTCCAACAATACTGTTGGAAGTAATAAATCCCTAAGCATATTCGTACCAATATGCTTGGCACTTCTTGCCTGTTTAGTTATCACTGCTTAAAGCTTAATAACAAGAGCCATTAGATTTACTAAGATATCGTCAGCACAATATACCGCTGATAGTCAATTTTTGTCAAATTCACTATTGGTTTGCTTTGGTATTTACGAGCAAATCTATGGAAAATCCTACACATCAAACGAGGCCTTAATTTTTATTTCAACGTCATTCCTTCAAATTATCGGTCTTCTGTTCTTAAACGGAGCTATCATTTTTGGCAAAGCTGGGCCAAGCTAAGCCCTCATTCAATTGCAATCACCTTTCTAGCTTGCTCTTGAAATTATAATTATGTCTCAGATTCCTAACATATATGCACTATCAGGCATGGCTATATGCATTGTCGGTGCTCTTATTATTATTCTTGGAAAGAAATGATAGATGATTAAAATATTTGATATCATTTATCCTTAAGATTTATTTTAAAATCGCTTCATATTATCCAATCTTACCTATATTCTATTTAGAGGGGTTTTGGGGTTTTGGGGTTTTGGGG